CACACACACACACACACACACACACACACACACACACACATAGCAGGGAGAAACCCACTGGGGAACCAGGTGTTTGGAACTGGGGACATTCACACACTCAGCCCAGTGTCCCTGCCTGCTTCTGAGCCAGCTCTCCCACAGTTACCTGAACACAGGGCCCAGGGTTGGGGCAGTGCCAGGGCTGGGGCCTAGACCCAGAAGAAGGCAGCTGAGGCCATTGTGCTAAGCAGCCTGTCGCATACCAGAGGGACCAAGAGGAGGAAGGAGCTTTCTTAGCTCTTGGCTCTGATGCTCTTGGAGTCTTGGGGACTCCGGAAGCCTGCAAAGTGATTCCAGTCAAAGGGCAGGCTCTATACCTCCGCATCCCTCCAGCCTCCTCTCTCATGCTCTGCTTCTCTTTGTCTCCCAGCCTTCACCCTTGTCACACGCTGTCCCTCAGGGCCCTCTGTTCATTGCCCATCCCATTGATTGAAAGTCTCTCTCAGGTTCTCCAAGGAGTCCCAGGAAAAATGATCCTCCAGTCTATTGATTCTTCATTAGAATTACATTTTCACGTGTGCTAAATTGGTTTTAAAAGCTTCTTCTGTTGTTATTGTCTTGTCAGACCCTGTGGTCCAGGGCAAACCAAGTTAAAACGTTGTGGCTTCTTAGGGGAAAAAAATCACCAGAGCCAGGTCTGTGATTACTTGTTTTCTTGCCTTATTGTTGTCATGATGGCAATTGGGTATGGTTTAAGTATCTTTAGGAAAGGGGTCCTGCAGGAGGCTGCTTAGGTGAGCTGGGGCTGGTTGGGGAGGTGGGTGTGTGTGGAGAGGGCTTGGAAGCCCCTGGAGGAAGGACACGAGAGCAGTTTTTCTTCCCCTGAAAATGAAATTTAGCACTTAAACCTTTATTAATTGCTTCTGGGACAAGAGAAAAGGTGAAAATTCTAAAAATCACTTCTATTTTCTCCCTCCCCTTCTAGAAGGAATAGCTCCCTCCCCTTTCCCCTAAATAGCTGGGGAGGGGGTGTCAGTCTTTCACAAGGTGCTGAGGAAGAGGTTGCAGCCTCCCGGTTTGTAGTAGGGTGGAAGCCCAGTCACAAGGATGCTTTTAATCATTACACTCTGTGCTGAGGGAGGAATAAATCCAAATGAGGGTGGAGAAGTGGGAAGAAAGAAGCAGAGACTCTCATAGAGAAAGGGGGGCTTGGGGCCCAGACTATCAGAAAGAGATAGACAGACAGTCTGATGGACTTTTCTTTGCAGAGAAGTCGAGGGCAGAGACGAATGAAAGATAGGAAGGAAAAAGAAAAAGAAAAGAAGGGGAAAGAGGAGAGACAGAAAAGGAAATGCACAGAGGAAAGGAAAGAGAGAGAGAGAAAGCAAGGTAGGCAGAGGAGCAAGCCCTGGGGAGCTGGCAGCCTCTCCAGCCCCCACCCTCCTCCTGGCCTGGCAGCCAGCAGGCCCTGCTGGGGAGTGGGCACCGGGCGGCTGCGGAGCCCAGGCAGGAGAGCCGAATGTCTCCGTGATGTGTTTATCCCCTAATCAGTTCATTAGTTATAAACAACATGACATTAGAAGTTAGGAGGCAGTTGATATTAATTTTTATTTAACTAGTTGATGTTTAATCCGTCACGCCAGGCTGGGTAGCAGCGAGAAAGATCTTCCTGACACAAAACCAGTTAGAACTTCATAAGGCGCAATCAGTGTCCGCGCGTTGAAACAAACAAGAGAGACAGAGACAGAGACAGGGAGAGATAGAGAGACAGAGGCAGCCGCCAGAGAAGGAGCCGGCGAGGCGGTCGGGGAGAGAGCTAACCCCGGGCGAGGGTCGGAAGGAAATAAGCTAGAAAGGCTGAGAGTGCAGAGAGGTCGGCTCCGCGGGTGGCTGGCAGCCCTAAACTCGGACCCCAAGCCCAGAGAGGCCCGACGCAATAGTGAGGGACCGGGGCCCAGCGGCCGGGGAAGGCCCGGCACGGGCAGCGGCGGGGCTATCCGCCAGGGCCCTGCCAAGCCTCGCCAAGCCCTGCCGCTGCAACCACCTGCCTTAGCCAGGGAACCGTTGGGTGTCCGGCGGGCTGTCAGGGGCTTAAGTCCCAGCGAGGCGAGGCCCGGACTTTCTCGAACTGTCCTCTCCCAAGTCCAGAAGCCAAGAACTCCCTCCGTCCGGCTCCAGGAAGAGCGGGCCCGGGCAAGAGAGGAAAGGAGGAAAAGGCGGAGTTTGTGCCCATCGGCTCAAGTTTGACAAAGTTCGCAGCGGTCACAAGCCAGAGCAGGGTGTGTGTGCATTTGTGTTGGGGGTGCTCGGCAGTGGCAAAGGGGGAGGAGGTGATGGATAGTTTAGGGGTTCTGCAGGTGGGAAAGGGCTTTCCCCGGAGTTTGCCAAACCCTCCACGGCTGTCCGCGGGTGCTAGATTGTGTAGAGACCCGGCTGT